GAGTGCTGTTTAGTTTCCACCTGTAAACGTCAGATAGCAGTTTGTACTTTAGTTTTTATCTCATGTAGCCATGTGAATGAACAAAGTGACTGCTCACAATCTCAGACTTTATCACTTCTGCCCCTCTGTGTTTCAGGGTTGTCAGCATTTTATGCCCGACTCACATTCACTCATAGGAATAAGTGTGTTTGACTGACTCAACCACATTGTCTGACCTTTGTATCTCATGCTAATGCTGCTGGGTGCTCTGTGGGAGCACACTGTATACATTTTAACACACACATCTTATTTTCTTGGCATCACTCTGGAATGGCAGTGGCATACGTGTATAAATCATTCAGAAGGCTGCCATGTCATTTTTGGTCAGGAGCCAGACGGAGAGCTTCTAAATGTATTATGAAAAAGTCCGAAAGACACTTAACAAGCACTTTGATGGATGTTTGGTGGCTTTGGCTGAATCCACCACACAGTAATATAGGCTTTCAGCGAGTGATTCATAGATAGACATTTCTCCTCATAAGCAAACGACCGCAGGATACTTTAAATCTGGTTCATATGACAAAAACCCTGCAGGAGTCCTCCTCGTCTTTGGCTCCAATAACACTGATTTCTCTTCTTCTTCACTTCCAGTTGTAGTTGTGTTTTGTGCTGGCCGAACTTGTCGGTTATTTTGCATAAGTTTGAATTGGGGCTGTGTTTAAAAGAAGTGAAGCTTTAAGTACGCTGCTCCTTTAAGAGCTCAGTTGTCACAGCGCCAGAGGGAAGTGATAAGCGACAAGTCCCATGGGCTGTGATTTGACAGGAGGAAAGCAGTGTGATTGTGTTAACAGTCACCACCAATAACAAATGACCTCATAATGTCTAGTTCACAGGCTAATAATTCAAAAACATGAAAGCTTGATGGTATGAGATTATTTTGGCCACTTTATTTGTCATTTGCATTGTTGATTTATAATTTCTTCTATCAGAGCCACATATTAATTAAGCATATGGTTAATCCATATTTTCAGAGTTATTGCTTATTGAATGTACTGTTGTGGAAAACTTGTGAAAAAATCGAGTATCTCCAAGGCTTTATGGTAGAGTAGCTTTAAAAAAAAACTGCATGAACAGCATCATGATATTACTGTGTGGCTTAATTCTCTGGGGGAATCATCGTGTGTTTCACACTGCTGTGTCAATAGTTTGCTCTTCCAGCTTTGTTTCAGCAAGTTTATATTCAAGGACACAAGGGTCAGAATTACAAGCGTAGTTCTCCAGACGCTGCGTCGGTGAGGCAGAGGTTGTAGCTTCCTGCTGTTCCACAGATGCACGGTGGTCTTCATAAAGGAAAAAGACAGTTACTTCTTTAACACTTCATGTACCTACTGTGTTTATACCATGTCGAGGTGTGGCTCATTCCTCAATGTTAGACCCAAGACATAACCAGTACCAGACTAAACATGGAGCTTACGTGGGAGTCACCCAGGGGCAGCAGGAGAAGAATGCCAGGTCATGGGGTGTGTCGAGGAGCGATGGGGTGGCAGTGGTCCCTTGGCCCCTGAGCAGATGGCCTGTAGGAAACCTATTGACGAGAACAGAGCATTGAAGGGGAAGAGGGAGGGGAGAGTTCAGACTGGGCCCAGTGGTTTGCAGCTAAAAGGAAGACTTGTCTTGTTGTTCTCCCAAAACAGCAGCACAATACTCCAGTTCAACTCGCAGCAGAAGGCAAACGTGTGTGTCTTTAAGTTTGTGTGTTGGCAGACACGCCTTTGAGCCTTTCATACTCGCAGCCCTGCGCTGCGTGAATAAACTTTGCAAGAAAAGCGTCAGTAGTAGTGTTAAAAGAACGAGTCATTGTGACAAGTTCGACAACAAGCTTTACACTGACTCCTGCTGTTGTCAGCAGCTGCTTTCAGGGTCTTTACTCAGAAAGAGCATTGTTTAGTTACTCTCCATTCATGTAGAGCTACTTTGAATCACTTTACCTTCACTTTCCTATGCTTGCTAGTTTCACTGCAAACTGTTAATATTAATAAAAGTTGGGGCTCTGGGGGAGTAAGCATGGACATGGGATGTAAAGGGGACCTGAGGAATTGAGTAATAAAATATGCCAGTTTCCTCACAGCTTTCTGGGTTAATGAAGTGGACTCAAATACTTAGACCAGCCAAGGGCAGTTGACCGTGCATTCATAAAGCGCTATTGGCTGAGCTTTGCCCAGGGTCCATGTGAACCCCTGGCCCCAGCTCAAGTAGCATGACAAAGCTGGAAATTATTAGTGTGTTAGTGGCAAAAAGCTGCTTCAATAGGCGGGTTCAGGGTTATAGCGCCTTTTGGTATCAATGCTGCTTGTATTCAATGTCTTCCTTCTCTGGTTCGCCCTCTTAACTCATGACGAATGAAGCAAGTGTTTAGTTAATCCTCTGATCAGCTCAGAGTGATGGTTCAAGTTCATTACCAGGCTTACACGTCTATGGCCAAGTTTCCACCACATTTTTAGGTGCTGCGTTTTCACACTTATTCTAAACAGTTTAAATAAGGGTAGAGTAATTTCCTTGTGTGGCTCCTTGTCATGTTTGATTTTTTTTTTTTTTTTGTAACATTAGCATGGATTTTTGCCCCATCCTTGGACTTTGGGGTCTAGGGCTACATGTGCTTTCCACTTAAATCGTTCAAGTCTCGTGGAATTTCTTTCTCACCTTCATTTATTAAACGCACTCTTTCGCAGTAGCCCATTTACTCAGTCAACACCATTTAATCTCACCTCACAGTCAAGGTGCATCCAAGCAGGAGCAGATAAACTCTTAATTCTGCAGATCACTTAATCCTGAAGGTTAGGGCTTTTGGCAGTCGGCTGTTTACACTGTAACCTTACACATGCTGTACGTGTGCTGCGAGGCTTAGTGGTGTTAGCACTATTTGAAAGCCTTCCTTCCATGTAAGTGGGTTATATTACACTCGCAAGACAGAGAAGATGCCCGGTGCCTCCGCAAGAACGCTCCTCAGCCGTTTCTGGTTTTGGATCCTTCCCCCCCGACAAATTTGGCGGTGACGAGTGAAAAAAAAAAGGGAGCAAGCTAGGATTCCAAAGTTTAAAAATAAACAGACGGGCAAACTGTAGCCGGCTTTCAAAAACTTTCCCAACCCTGATCAAAGACGACGTCATTTACTTGTGGGAAGGTGGAAAAATGTGACTAATGTTTGGTTTGGATGCCTGATTGAGGAGAGTTAAATTTGGGGGGTGGAGTGAATTTTTAAACTAGTCATACTGAAGCGCCAGGGTGGCACTACTCTACTGTGCTGTCTTGTGACAGTACAAAGCTGTTGACTGGACCTGCTTGATACAGGGCTGCATAGTTTTTGAGAGGAAATGTTTTCATCTCTGGAATATTGGCTGTATCATTTTTTTTTTTTTTTTTTTTTGCAAACCTGCCAATATGAACAATGTTTTTTTGTTTTTTTTCCAGACACTACTGAAAAGTAAGACAGATAGTGGAGCAGCTTCACTTCTGTTTCAGCCTTGCATTGGCTTTTGTTTTACCCCAGTGAGAAACACGTAGTGCTGCCTACCAAACACTGTCCTCCCCCAAATGCTGGGGATTAGGATCTGCTCTTTAACTGGCACACCTGTTATCAAACATGGAGCTCATTACGTGAAGTAAATTACAGTGCTGTGGAAAGAGACTCGCCACTAAGTCCGTCTTCTCTCTGTGTGTTTCTGTGTTTCAGATGAGCAAGACGACAGAGGAATGAGTTTGTCCTAAGAAATGAGGCGCAGAGAACCGTGCATAGGAACTCCAATCTGAGACGAGACTTTCAGGCAGGTGAGTCTGGGAACTGTGGCCTTCATATCTGCCATGTCACTTATGTTATGCTCGGTGATATCAAAGCCTAGATTTATAATCTGTACTTGGTATACACATCACAATCTGTCAGTTCGCTTTTTCATCGTCGCATACAAGTAGAGATAGATGTTACTTTACTTCAAATGTATTGATCCTTTTGAAATGGTCATCATTTACTACAGTACCTTTTCCCAGGGTGTGTATCTTAACTGTTTTCATTATTTATCCCTTCCACATGTTGCAGAGAGGTTTGTTTTAGTTCCTTATCTACTTGCTGAGCTAATTCAATGACTTGAAGACCGTTGAAGGTATTTACCTGGACCTTATTATGTAATCCCATCACACACAGCCACAGATGCATAACTGTCTCTTACCGGCTGCGGTGTCCTCAGCTGTTGACGTGCTATAGCATCAACCCTGTAATGAGATATCTGTGCGGCCATGGCTCTCCGTCACTAATGTAAGAATGTTGTGGACAGTCTGGAAGTGATTTTTTTTTTCATTGTCCTGAAGTCTGTCACACATAACAACCATGACAGCCTAAAGCCTGTTCATCTGACTTGACTTTTCGAAAGGAAGAATGGAAGAATGTAGTAAAATGAGTGGGGGGTAGACCAAACAGGTTAATGGCCAGATGTGACAGAATTACGTGTAACTATTTTCTTTGAGAGGCATAAGGAAGATGTTAGAGCTGCTGCTGTTTTACTCTGGAAATGGCCACTGCAAATTAAACGATTATATGTGTGTATGGCATGGTTTTATGGGAGTGTGGCCATTATTGTTTATTAGTAATATGTTAATTTTATGTCTCTGATGATCGGGCATTATGTCATACCATCACACATTATATATCCTGCCTTACGTGTGAGTAACCATGAATTTTCCAGCATGTCGGTGACATTATAGTTTTGTTTTCCTTCTCTGTTTTTTCCAGGCAGAGATGGGAAATTCAGAGAGCCAGTACAGCATCCAGGGCCCCAAAGGCACCAGCTTTGTCTTCCCTGGGAAACAGAAGCCATATTCACTGAAGCTCCGCTCAGCCAAAGACGACGCTTTGTCACCCCACACGTGGTGGAAAAGCGCACCAGTAGGCTCAGGGTACAAGGCCAGGTGTGTCGGCCGTGGCTGTTTGTCCCCTGCTAAAAGCCGACAGCCGTACTCCGCTCGGCACTACGACTATGTCACCAAGGGCGCGAGGGGCAGCCCAAGTGAACATCGCTGGCATCGGTCCCCTGGATGTGGTATACGAAGGCGTCATATGTCAGATGAGTATGAAGATAATCCGTACGGGACTGAGCTTAATGGGCACACCCTGAATGGACACAGTGATGAACATGAGGCTTTAGAGGAACAGAGCAGCCCGCGGGTGGTGATCAAGAAGGATGGCAGTCTGAGGGTGGAGTTCACCAACACCTCTGGGAACCCACTCCTCCTGGATGAGGCTTCTGGCCCTGTACAACTCCTCAAGTTCTCTCCCAACGTGGAGTCTGCTTCCACTCCCAGTCTGCCTGGTTCCAGTGGTAGTAGGCAGGATGGCCACCGCAGCGGTCCGCCGCCGGCCTCTACCTCCTCCACGGCCAGGACCAGCAAGGGAAGTTCACTGAGCTCTGATGGCTCATGGTACGATTCCCCCTGGGGGCAAAGCACAGAGCTGTGTGAGCAAGACCAGCCCTGCTCTGCCAGCAGGACACTAGTTCACTCCCCCATCCACCAGCTCGACTCTTTCACTGAACAATCTCCCCCTGTGTCTATCGCAGACCTCTACAGGGACTCCACAATGGCTGCCACTTTTCCTACAGCCAGGGACCTGTCCTCCCAGTTACAGGACCCTCTGCCAGGCCCGAGGCCACACCGGGCCTCTTTTGCATCCGTCCTGGATGTGCCCTTGGAGGAAGAATGCCCTGAACTCCGGCAGTACTCGTCATACACCCTGCCTTGTCGCAGGCCCAAAGCCCACACCCTGAGCGAGGACCTAGACCACTACCCTGACCAGGAACAGCACCAGGACCAGGGTGCGCCAGATTTCGTCTTCCACAAGAAAGACTCCATCAAAAACCGCATCAGACGCCTCAGTGACTGGACAGGCAGTCTCAGCCGCAAGAAAAGGAAGTCTCAGGTAAGTTTGGCAATGACAGCTTTTGGGGATCACATTGATTTAGTCTTGTGCTCACCATTTTTTAATAATTCATACTCCTTTATCACTCCCAGGGTTCATACAGGGATCTTATCTACATGGTAGGTAAAAAATTCGGTCACATAGATGTGGTGTTTGTTGTCGCCCCGTAACTTATAGCCCTCATAGTTAGATAGATGAATGTTTTACTTTTTAATTGTGGTGACCTGTAGTTCCTCCATCACTAGACACTTAGAGTAACAGCTTATTAGACAGGAGAGGGCATCAGCCATGCACAAACAGTTTTCTGTCTGGCAAGGTTTATTTGATTGTGAGCCACAGCGGTTGTCCTGGCATGGTCCGTAACCAACCACCATCCTGTGGTCTTTAGCACCACAACACCAGCTGTCCGAGGACAGGGCACAGTGGGGCAGCACAAAATGAAATTTGTAAAGCAACCGGTGCTGGGTGTTGTTGTTTTCATGTCGGTGGAACAAAGATGAGAGGCACTACCTTTTACAATGTGAGACATGGATGATTCTCTGAGGACGAGAAGTCAGGGGCTGGCGTGCAGATGCTATAATGACTGTATCTGGGTGGGTACATGTGAAGTTTTATTGCATAGTGATTGTTTGTGATTAGCTGTTGAATGTACATTACTTGTCACGTGTTAATGTTTTAAGCTCTTCTGTTTACAGGCGGATGCGCATGTTGGCTGTAAGGGTGTTGACCTAATGGAATGGTGTTACATATGATTTTAGCCTTGGTGCTCATTAGCCCAAGATAAGCATTTTATTGAAAAGGGTTTTTCAGGGCTTCAGTTGAACTAATGGCTGGCTGATGTGCATAGGAAATTATAGAATGGAATGTATCTGCCGTGCAACACTTAACATATGAGACACAGAGCAGACAGCTGATATATACATAAACATTTCCCCAGTAGTAAAATGATACTTGTACAATACAGGCACGGGTCAGAGGAGAGGTTGGAAATAACCGCAGCACTGTCTGCATGTTGCCTGCACATGTTTTAAGATCCATGTGATTACATCCTACAACCACTACATTCTTAATAGCTTTAATTCGACATGAAAAATGTGTTCAAACTGAGCCTGAACTCATGTCCTTCTGTCTTTCAGGCTTGAAAGCAGTTGTTTCTGCATTAATTCGTTTAGCTTTGCCTTGTAAAAGTTTTAAGAACACTGTTTGGGCACTACCAAGAGAATAGCTTTAAGCCTCTGAGAGGCTCTGTTAGAGAGAAACTAAATCCTAGCTGAAGATTTAACTCCACCTCTCCTCTAATGTTAATTAATGACTTATGGTTGTTCTGGCTGTTGTGTTGTGCAGATTTTCTGGGCTCACCTCATGATCCCTTAGAGAGTAAATCTGCTAATAGGGATTGGTGTTCAGTCAGCTGGGTCTGACAACAAACCAAAGGACGGAACATAACAATCACTGTGGCATTTCCTTCTGAGAATTTGCGAGCTTCTCCTTGTGCTTAAACAGCAGATAATGCTGAGTGAAATATATGAGATACTTTGCCTTGACACTGTCACCTGCCTCTGTAGTGACAAATACCTAGTAGACAGGGCAGTATTCATTTTGAGTGTTCCACTGCTTTCACTTTACATTAGTAATGTCTGCCACTAAATCTCCTCCTTGCCATAACACCATGCTAATCTATGGCCATGTGCGGGTGCTTAACCAGTTTCAGGGGCACAGATTTACTTGAGCCTTTGTTTCCTTCTCCAGACGTAAGGCTGATAGAAGGCTGTGCTTTTTTGCCTGCAGAAATCCTCAAGAAACTTAAAAATGAGGTGTGGTTAATCAAAGAAAATAGAATCCATTGCCAGCTCCCGGTAATGGTGACAAACTCCAACAAGCTGTGCTCTGTTTTTAGAGACAGTTCTAGAAAGACTAAATTTCCATTAAACCTTGAGGGCAATTCATGCAAAAAAAAAAAAAAAGAATCAGTGTTTTACACCTGGGATTCTCTTTTTGACGAGGCCTGTAACTAGTTTACATTAAAGTGTGGTGCTTGAAGCTTGTTTTCAGACTGAATTTCCTCTGTCCTTCGGGGGCCATTTTGTTGACTGCCGAAACCTCTGCGGCATAAATCTTCAAGGTCCGGTCACAGTGCCTCCTTTCAGCGGGTCAACCAAAGTCAGGAGCACCTCCAGCTCTGGCTCCCCTCCACCTGGGCTCCAGGGCTCTGTTGAGGGGTTAAAGGTCACGCCGTGACCCGTGATGCCAAAGACCAAGAACCTGCTTGTAATGAAAGGCAGCTGGAGGAGGGTGAAGGGGACGGTGGATACATTTGGGTTGTGCCTGCTAAAGGAAAATAAGTAAAGCTGTTGAAAACACACACTGTGCACAGTACAGATATTCCTACGGTTATACTATACAAATACTGTGTATGTCATGGCGGCAGTTGGACGTTAGGGCTGTCATTAAGTGAACACTGTAGGTTCACAGAGATCCTTGTAGCTAAACAGGATCTCTGGACTGTCTGGTTACAGGATGTGAGAATAAAAAAAAAAAAGAAAAAAGAATTGTTTGCTAACTATCAAGAAGGGACAGTCAAAATGACATGAAACAAGGATAAGCATGGAGAAGACATGGACAGAACTGAGCGAGACACATTAACAAACAAAGATGGAGCATGAGCTCTGTGACGACAGCACATGTTGAGAGCACTCCACTCTGTTGCCAGGGGCAGAATCGATGCTGCAATCTAGTCAAGTGTAGGTAGGCTGTCATTAGGCATGAAAGAGTGCAATTCCATCAAGTGTTCATTTGGGGAATTGGGGAGCCACAGCAGACCTCAAATGACTTGAAATTGTCTGAGCCTGGAGGGTTCCAACCTCCCAGGTGCCATCACAGGAAATTTGTCCCACTTTCTCAGCCTCGCGAAAGATTTAGATTTAGAGACTGTAATGCGGACTTTGAAGTAGGTTCGAGTGGTTTGACAAGATTTTTTCAGAAGTTTCTAACCGCAATATTGCAGAGCCTCAGGGCTAATTGAAAAGAGTTTGATTTTTGGTCCCAGCGTAAGCTCACAGTGTGCACGTCTTAGGGCAAACAGGGTGTGTTTTTTTTTTTTTTTTTTTTTGCCTAAATGTAAATGGGAACAGTGAATCTCTGAGTTAAGTTTGAAATTTCCAAACTAGCCCAATGCTAAATAATCAGTAGAACTGTTAGCCATCATGAAAGTCTTATCTTCTCTCCACATCCGCTCACAATCATCATGTCTTTCCTCCGTCTTTTTCGCCTTATCAGGAAACCAGGTACAAGGACCTGACCGATGCGTTTGACAGTGGAGTCGATGGCCTAACGGCAGACACCAGCTCCCCCTCCCAGGTCTCCAGCCTCCTCTGGTTCCCTGGAGCGTCCAGGGCCCAATCTTCAGGAGCCATTCACCAAACAACCAGCGATGCCCTCCGCCAGAACATTTATGAGAACTTCATGAGGGAGTTGGAGACGGGCACTGGACAGGGCGGAGGGGGAGGGGGCGAGAGGAGAGACCCGTCCACTGGCACCGAAGAGGGGGAGAGCAGCAGCGAGTCAGCGGAGGGCTCCCTGGAGCAGCTGGACCTACTGTTTGAGAAGGAGCAGGGTGTGGTCCGACGGGCCGGATGGCTTTCTTTTAAACCCCTTGTCACACTGCACAAGGACAGGAAGCTGGAGCTGGTGAACCGCCGCAAATGGAAGCAGTACTGGGTGACCCTGAAAGGTGAGCTTGAGTCTGGCGATGGAGGAGGTGCGCAAGAGAGCGGAACAATTTTTTGTCATTCTTGAAATTGCGTGAAAGGATGTGCTGCCTTGTGGTTCTAAATTGAGAGTTAAGTGGATTATCCAAATTCAAGTTCCTGTCAGGTTTGAGGAGCACCGGGTTGCTTGTTGTTGTCAAGGTTTTCCTTTTAACAGCAGTTGTGTCCTTGACTATGGCATCACACTTAACATTGAGTGTTTGTCCTTCCTTCCAACCCTAAAAGCTTCTTAGTCAAGTAGATAAAATTCAGGCCACCAAATGTGTGAACGTCCACATACTCCTTCTAAGTATTTACTGAAGATTACCTCTTGGAAGTTACAAAAAAAGAAAAGGCACAAGCAAGGACAGTCTTATCATTTTTATGATTCCAAGTGGCCTTTTGGGAGTATGTAAAACTTTTGTGCTTTTATGTTTCAATGCTGCTGCAAATATCCCAGTCGTGCTGAACTTCATTTCTCAGATGTTTTTACAAGGACATCTTGTCTGTAAAACATTAAGTGACAGCTGTAAAAGCCCCAAACACACACTTACAATATTAGAGAAACTCAGCTTGATGATTTACACTTTCTTTCTGCATCACTTGCTCATGACGTTTGTGTCTGTGTCTGTCTCTGTCTCTTTGTCTTTGTGTCTGTATCTGTACTCCCTCCATTCCAGGATGTACATTGCTGTTCTATGAGACTTATGGTAAAGGTTCTCCGGAGCAGGAGCTGTCGCCTCGCTACGCTCTCTTGGCCGAGGACAGCATTGTCCAGGCCGTTCCTGAGCATCCCAAAAAGGAGAATGTCTTCTGCCTTAGCAACTCATACGGAGACGTCTACCTCTTTCAGGTGAAACACGCCAGCTGATACAGTTCTCCATATAGAACATCTACCAAAAATCAGTTGCAGATAATTAGAAAAGTTAAATCATTGAAGTATGTTGGACATGTACATCTCTGTCAGGCCAACACAGCAAATAGATATACACCAGCATGTTTCCACTGCACGCAGTTGCAGTACACGGATGTGGTTGAATTATACCAGAGACACACTTCCCCTTCCTTTTCATATGAAATTACCAATTTCGGCATGTGGTTGCCCAAACTTCTCAGCTAAAGGGTCTAAAGGGTCCTATTTACCCGATTACTGACCTACATATCAGTACCAAATTCATGCAGAGCCTCGGCTCTCTCTTTGTATCCTCCTCCACTCAAGATTACAGGTTTCTCAGACTGCTCTATGTCGCAGGGGTCCAAACCTACATCTAATAAAATAGTGCTGGGATGTGTCCCCAGAGGCAAGCATGGAGAAAATCATCTCTGTAACATGACAATAGAACCTGAGTTTCATCCTTTTGTTTCCACTCACAAGGCCTCATGAGCATGAGACATTGTCACTGAAAAGGGTGTTCACGACCAATGTTCTGCTGCTAGATTGAATCACATGAAATGACTTATTAACATGGAAAATGTATGTTTAATTTCAGCAACAGTTCATAACCTGTGCTTTCTCATAGAGGAACTGTTAATCAAGGTTTCTTTCATTGATCCAGCAAAGCCCCAATGATCTTACTGTGATGTATGATAGAATAACACAATAGCGGTGCATTGGCAATCCTAGGAGATTTATAAGGCTTTGGATCTCTGAATTCATCTTGTAACAAGAATCTTGTCCTTACTGCTTCATCAAATCTAACTCCCTGTCCCTCTCTGCCCCTTCCAGGCCAGCAACCAGACCGACCTGGAGAACTGGGTGACAGCAATCCACTCTGCCAGTGCCTCGCTGCTGGCCAAGCGCCAGGGGAAGGAGGATACGGTGCGTCTGCTGCGGAGCCAGGTCCGAGGCCTGCTGCAGAAGATCGACATGGATGGGAAGATGAAGAAGATGGCTGAGCTGCAGCTGACTGTGGTCAACGACCCAAAGAACCGCAAAGCTATTGAGAACCAGGTCAGGTGGTGGTGATGATATTGATACTGCGGCATCAGTTGAATTTGTTGGAATTAATACCAGCGTCACAATATTGGAGGCGGCTGTTGCATTATTTACACATTACATTTACATTTCATGGCCTTGGGATAAATTTCACAGAAAATCTGCTGCATTATTCTACAGTATTGATACATCAGCTCTGTAACGTATGCTCTTCTCAAGCTATGCTGTGATTTGCTGACTCCTCTGTGTCATTGTTCCGCATGATACATGTAGCAACCACATGATGTGCCCTACTTAATTTCCTGATTTTTGTGACTCTGGTGACAAGCCTGTGCTTTATTTTTGTCTGTGGGTGGGTGAAGTGGCCTAAATGCATCAGTCCCCGAACGCATCGCGAGGGGCCCAGGGGAGCAGCTCGCTTCCCCGAGCATCAGATTGGGATTCCAGATGTTTCCTGGTAATGGGCTCTCAACATGCATTATCCTCTTCCTCCTCCTCACAGCCTGGGGGAGAATCCCAAGCACCTAGCAGTGTGCTGTAGTACACATACAGCAGATTTCAGATGGGTATAAAAAGCCCATAACCTATAGCTTAGCAAGAAACACTTTTACAAGAAACTAGTGCTTGTTGAGGAATGTGGGAAAATCCCGCTGCTGTTTTATATCTGAAACTCAGATGGTCAGAGACTTAAAGTGCCAATAAATGTAAATGTATACTTTCTGCATCTGTGTGGCCACATCAGCTGCCCATGTCCTTATGCACTGATTGCTCATGCGCTAGGAAAGTAAATTGGATACTGTCCGTCTTGTTATTTGTTCTTAAGTTAAAGCACCCTGAGTGGAAACATGAGTATGTTATTTTGAAGAACAAGCAGATAGAAGCTGGACAGCTCACTGCAGTAATGACAAATGGAGATGTCACTGCCTGACTAGTTGACTGACTGTGCTGGGATCTGTTTCCAATTAGCCAGTATGCCACCTCGGCGTAGACAAAGAGACAGACAGGGTTGGAGTCAATGATAGGGTCAGAGGGGTATGGGACAGGACTCTGATACAGGCGCCCAGAGGCTGATGATAGATTTAAGGTTTCGGTGGGGTTGTCTCGCACCAACAGGGCACTACTTTGATGTCCCCGCCCACCCCCACCCATGTCTACTGAAATCAGTGCCAGTAGACCTCTTTTGAAGTCTGCCTTTACCCCCTCTTTCACACACACAAGCTCACACACACACACACACACACACACACACACACACTCACACACACACACACACACACGTACTGCGATCAAGTTGCATTGAAAGACTTATTATGCATTTGGGCTTTTACAGAGATTGGGCAGCAGATGTTAAAGAGGGCAAACAAGAAAAGATGAGAATCTGTTAAAAGAAAGGCTTATTTCTGCTGAGCTCAATGGCTCTGAAATGGATGTGAATAAGTAGCGCACGCAGGCCAGATGGGCCTAAACACGTTTTGTTTTTCACTGATGTTGGTTGATTGTGTCACTGCGCTGATTCAAACCTGCTTACACACATTAAGCAACTGACTGCATTCAGGCCTTTCTCAAAAAATTCTGCTGCTCAGCGATACACCCTGGCATTAATCATCAACTCGAATTTTCTGCCCAGGACTATTTTTGAACATCCTCAAATGAAAATGCAGATATTTGACTGTTGACAAACACATCCAGATGGCATGTAAATCAGAAGCATGCTAGGATCTTGTGATGAGTTTATCCAAAGCAGCGACTCTCCTAAATTTGTCTTTGCTTTTGAGGAAGGAGCTTATCTGATTTGCCCAGTAATACCACTTTCCTCATCTCAAGACGTCTTCAGTCTACTCACTGGAAGTCTGGAACACATCAGAGGATTTATGGACATTGAGTTCAGGTTCAGCAGAATAATGCCAAGTATTAGACATGACCGGAATTACCGGGCATTAGAGTGATTATGTGAAGTTTGTCACCTTACCTATTATGTGATGGGAAAATAGACACCAAAGTCACCCATATGTCCGTGGTGAATCATTTGCTTTGGTGCTCCATGCTAACCATGCTAATACTATATGATGACCGATATCCAAGTAAGACGACCCACTTTTTGGTTGTTGTCTTATATTATGAGCCACATTTAACTTTTCAGATGAGGCTAGTTGCCCATATTCTCTCTCTATAGTCCATAGCAATGGCTGGTAATTAGCTGGTAGTTATCGTACACGGCAAAATGAGACTGTGCAACTTTTGCTTGCTTGCGGCAAATGTGGCAACAAGTGACAATGACAAGATTATGCTAAATGCTAAAACATGTTGTAACAGTAGCACGAGTACAGAAGAGTCATCAAGTTAACAAACTGACTCAGTATAGTACATCTATATCATTATAAAGTTTGCTAATATTAGCTACTAAAAAGCTACTGGTCATACCAGACCAGGTAAAGCTGTAGCGCTAAAACCGAGCAATGGTGTGTTTTATTGCTCATGATTTCAAGTTTTCATTTGTAAGAGACAAAATATGTCATTTACTCTTTTAAAAGTTAGTCTCAAAACCTTTTATGTCCTTGTAGTAATATGCATCTTAACCCTGCTGATTTCCTAAAGATGAAGTTTGATGTGGATGCTGTTAGTGCTTCACTCTACTGTCTCATTCTCTCAATTATTTGAATAACTGACATGCCAAAATGCAAGGTCATTTTTTAACCAAAGCATGTGGACTCCAAGCAGCTGGTCTCATGTCTGGAATGGGAGTAATGGCTGAATGTCATTGACCCAAGACTTGTTAACCGAGGCCACCTGCACAGCAACATACATAGGCATTTTCATGGGTTTAGCACATAACATAGCACACCAATGTCCCTTGGTGATTTTCTGTGCAAGTTCCTTGTTTAAGATGTTTGAATTTGTTTAAGTCAGAGGTTCATAAAACACAACTCTCCCGTCCCTTCTCAGTTTGTTCATAATGTTAATGAGACCTAATGGGACAACGCCATAGGGTGCGTTATTGTAAATGAACTTGCAGTGCAGACGAGACCCATTAAAGTCAGTTGTTACAGAGTGTTGTTTAACTTGAATGTTCTCATTAAAACAAGTCTCCAGCCAACAAAATAAGCACTTTCTCATAGCTTACATACTGCAAACAGAGTTAGTGGGAAGGCAACTGTACTGTGTGTATGTACTGTGTGTGTGTGTGTGTGTGTGTGTGTGTGTGTACGTGTGCATGGTGGAGGTTTAACGGGTGGTCTGTGCAGCATCACTATCCTCTCTAGACTTACATAAAAAATGGGCATTTCAATTTACTGCACACGTACTCATTCCTCTGCGAGATACACAGTCACCCCTCACTATCAAACCTCCACCAATTTATGCCCTCCACCAACATCTGCAAGCAATTGCCGCTTGATGGAAAGCACTCAACTGACCCTAGATCTCCCTCTTTGACTCTCCCTTTTCCCTCCCCTCCCTCCTCCTCTCCCAGCTCACTCCATTACCTCCCCTCAACTCTCTTTTCTCAGCCACCAAATTCACATTGAGAACCTCTACCCAACTTACCAAAATAATATTCTTCTTTTCCCTTCAGATCCAGCAGTGGGAGCAGAACCTGGAGAGGTTTAACATGGATCTCTTCAGGATGCGATGTTACCTGGCCAGTCTACAGGGTGGAGAGCTGCCCAACCCAAAGAGCCTGCTAGCTATCGCCAGCCGCCCCACCAAAACCACCCTGGGACGCCTGGGGATCTTCTCTGTGTCCTCCTTCCATGCCCTGGTGAGGAACCCCAGGACGGGCACTGGGAAAGGACAAATGAATGAATTTAAAAATAAAGAGAACCAGCAGTGTGTCTTGTTTGGGTGCTCAGTAGCTCCTTGTATGAGATACTTCAGTTTTAATTTACTCGATGTCTAACAGTAACCTTTGAAATCTTATAATCATTTGAAACTAAAAAGCACCCTGCTAACGCTCCCTTTATGCATTACTGGAGGAAAATAAACCTAATTAAGATGGTCTGATTAGATGAAATTTTTTGTTGAGCTAACTGATCCCAGTCCTGATATTGTGTAATCTGTTCAGATCTGTTCCAGAGATGAGGCCACACTCAGGAGGCGCTCATTGTCCCTGACTTATAGACAGCGCAAGAGAGGACTTTTCTCCTCGCTCAAAGGCCTCGACAACCTTACAAAGAGAGGCCGGGACAAGAGGCCGTCTGCATCACAGGTATTACTGACCACGCAAATGGATGGATGGAAATATGTGCTATTTTGTAAAAATGACAAAACTCAGATTCTATGTTTAAAGTCTTTCTTATGTTAACAGTGTGAAGGATGTGGCAAAGTGTTCAGAACTTCTAACTTGAGACCGTTAAAATTTCTAATATCTTCATATTTAATATCGTCAAACTTTTTTCAGGAACAACTATTGAAAATTTTCTATGCATATATGTAAAACACCGCATTAAAAATTTAGCGCTATTGGTGTTTTTCTTTGTAGTCAAACACAGTGCAGCTCTCTTGCCTTAGGATAAGATTGTGCACCACATAGCGCTTCATTTAGGTTGAAGACGTTGGTGTACTTTGCAGCTATTTTCTTGTCACAAAGATTACTGTGTTCTGTTGCTGTGTCATTTTGAACTACCGAAAGAAAGAAGAATTTTTAATGTGACTTGTAGCAAGCCCACGAGCGATCACTTCAGTCAAAAACAGATATGGTACTAAGATGCGAGATTACATAACAAACTATATGTGTTCTTGTGTTTTTGTCAGCGTAGCAGCACTTAGACCTTGAGGTGACACTAACTAAGCTCAGCTGAATTCCCAGAGTAATAAAACTCTTCGGGTGGTCTGGATTAGTGGATTCCTAATGCAGGATCACCCACCTCATTTAGCAGTAGGGGAAAGTATGCACACACACGAGCATGCAGAAGTGTGAAGGTTGTGTTCAGAACTTCTAACTTCTAAGCAGCTCACGCTTACATGTGTACATGTGAACCCACACGGCCTCTTGAGACGTGCTGCAGAGAAAAACTGTGTCCTGACACTTACACCCTCAGTGCACATTGCAAATGTTGTTAGTGAAACAACCTGAAAACATGTTGCTTTATTGCTTACTCGCATGTACAGTGCCTGCGCTGACATGAAAGAAAGAAAGAGATTGTTACAGTCATGCAGCGCTTTCAGCACATTTTCCCCCTAAGGAGATTTTATTAATTAGAAGCACATAAGCTCACGTCCCCCTCTGCTTCCCTGTAAGTTTAAGTGCAAACCTCCCATCAACACAAACACAGGGGAGCATTCCTTACCCAGGTGCAGAGGGGGGAGTCTAAATCCTCTCAGGTTTGTAATTAGACTCATGCAGCCTGGTTATTTATTGATACAGAAATCCACCACTCTGTACCCTAAAGGTATGGCCCTGGAGATTACACTACTCTTGGTGGTCTATTTTAAGAATCGCCACAGGAAACGCTCATTTGCACAAGTCTTTTATGGACCTCTGTTCATTAGTTGAGACTATGGGAGGGAGAGTGTGGTTTTGATTAACAACAGTCAACCTTCATTTTTCTTCATCCTGTGATGTCAATATGGGATCTTATTGTTCTGGAGCACGCACAGCTTGTGAAGAACCAGTCATGTTCTTCATGTTGGTGGGCCCCGTCTCTTGACTGCTCCCAAAATGTTCTCTGTCCTGTTTCACTTGCTCTTATCTCACTCATCCACCCCACCACCTGCTCAGTGATACTTATGTTTGTGCATTTGCACACGCCTGTCAGCGACTAGGTGTGTGTGTGTGTGTATTATTATTTTTCGGGGGAACTCCAGCCGGCCGGCCTAATGAGGCCCAGTTACATTTCACAGTGCAGAAGGCCGAGGTGGCGCTGCAGAACACACATGAATTATTAAAAGCCATATGTGGTAGATGGCATTCTCCACTCTTTCCTCAGCCCTGAAGACATCAGCAGATGGTTAGTGTAAAGACGCTAAATATTAAAAGGCTTCACTTACTTTCCTTCTCAGGCTCTTTTTAGTGCTTTTCTGGTGTTTTCTTCTTCACATAGAGGATAATAAGGAGCGGTTAATAGTTGTTAGTGCTTCAAGGGATTTTCAGAGTGCTGGGTTTTCCTGGACATCTGCTGTTTTTGTGTTGTTTGACTTTGTTTTGAGAGATCATTGTAGTGTTAATTTCGGTTTAATGTTATTCATTGTTGGAAATTCAGCCATGGCCATTTTAAGTGACGTCATTAGCTCCCCGGTTGATCTCTCATGTGGTACTGACGAGACATGTGTTTGCTGGAGAGGGATTTGGATAGCGAGGTCATCTCAGGAGCCAAACTCTCCTCCATGCACTTAATCTGTTGTTCCCTTCTCAGGTTCTCAGACTGTGCTTTTCTCTAAGATTTTCAAGATATCGTCTTGCTTTCCCTCCCTTTTTGCTCTCCATTTATCCACCTTCCTCCAACTCAAACCCACTATCTTATGGTTTTTCTTCTTTCCTGCTTATTTAATCTTAAACCTAGAGTCTCATCTCCATCTCTTCCACGATTTCTCTCACCATTTGACTTTCCTTTTTTTCCCCTCAGCCTCGTCCTCTCTCAAACCCCCTGGTCCACAGAGCATAAACATCAGAGCGTTACCCGGCGGTCTTTCTCCCACAGTTTCCATACTGACTCATCTGTGTTGACTAAGCCTAAATCCCATTTACCACTGCGACGCTGGGCTTGACAACCTTTCTCCAAAGTCATGCTCTTCCCCCCCGTCTCCTTTTCTCTCGTTTTCCCATCTCTCATCCGTCTTAGCAGTGCTATGTATACAGTAAGGAGCTGGCCGGCAGTCGGCTGTGGGAAGTAGGCCAGAAAGGTCTGAGGATTTGTGGGAGAGTTGGTAAAGCTTTCTAAAATTAGTCAGTTTACGGCGAAGCAGCACTGTTTACAGCCACTTTATAAATGTACTTGTGTTGGGCAGGGAGAGTTACTGTAGTCTGCTGATCAGAGGTCGGATGAGGGTTCCACTACCATAACGGGAGCTGGATTTTTTTATGATTGTAAAGGAAGTTTCTTGGGATTGTTTTTGGACAAAAATTATCCTGAAATTGGCCTATGGAGACTGTGCTGGAGACTTGAGGGGACTGTCCCTTTTTGTATAAGAGTGTATAAGAGGAAATTGTCGTTGGAAATTCAGCTGCAACTCAGTTAATTTCACAGCAAAATACAAACACCTGTGAGATTGTGTCATCGAGAACAAAATGCCCCATTTCTGCCACCACCTATCATGTCTCTCCTGCCCAGTGACAAAGTATCTCAGCAAAAGCTGATAACTGCAGCCGGTTTGAGTGAGGACCTGGGCTACACCCTCACATAACGGATAGCTCTGTGTCACTGCTGTATTATAGAGTTGTTAAAGCCCTCCGAGGCTGCAGAGTCACCTCCAGCTCTGAGGCTTAGCCAGACATAGGACGCCTTACAATCACAAGCCAGGGAGAGGAGCTCGAGAGGAGGAGGAGAGAGAGAGAGGAATGGATCAAGAAGTGAAAGATTTCGACACTGAAGGGTGAATGAGGAGATGGAGAGGGGGGGAGAGCTCATCTTCTTCTCATCTGTAACTGGACTGTTTACCCCTTTCATCTCCCTGCTACACAGAAACCACTTAGGGTCTATACACACCCCCCTCCGCTCACACACACAGACCATATTTCCACTATTGCACCTTCAAAGGCTGCAGACCCGTCTGGAAGCAGTATCAAAGCGCTGCACTCGCCACGCGTAGTTTTTAATTAACTGCATAACAGCACTGTATGTGTCTAATATTGTGTTGCCGGAGTGGCTGGGCACTTAATCGCTCATGAGTCAATCGGTGTGGTGCCCCTCTGTCTGTGGCTCTGACTGTCTGTTTCTTGATTTCAGATCTTTGACGGCGATGCTGGAGGTCAAACTTACGCCTTGCCTCCCAGGAGCACTGAGGTGAGTCATAGTGTTCAGAAACTTTCTCCGTCCATTACGGTTTGAGGATCTTTGATATATCTTTTAAAAATTCCACTGCCATCTGTCATATCCATCCTGCGGTACTGCTTTATGTGCTGAATTATCAGTTTCAGCGTGAAGTAGCCGTGGCAGAAACAAGTCCTCTATTGCTTTGACCTCTGCTGTCTGTCATGGCTTTGATAGTGGGCTGTGTAAAGATATTTTTAACACATGGGGTGTGTGTGTGTGTGTGTGTGTGTGTGTGTGTGTGTATTACTTGCACAGGATCAAAGCAGAGATTCCTTTCATGTCGATCTGCAGGTGTCTGCAATATAAACAGACAGCATATCTGACAAGAGATTTTTGCAGCAGTAGAACCGTGTTAAACGCGGCTGTGGACAGGGGTCCGATTCACACCATAATTGAGTTAATGGAGGGTGTTGGGTTGAAGTGTTGGATGTTGAAAGTGTGAGTGTATGGGCTTATGGTAAAAGTGTTGAATGATTGATGAGTGTGAATTCCGGCCATCTGAGCAGCCAGACGCTGGAGCTGCGGCATCTGCAGGTTAATTGGTGGTTACATGCCTCCATCAAGGAAGCGTGACATAATCCTGTAGCTTCAGCTCCAAACCTTGCTGTCCTCAACATCTCTTTGTCCCCTTGGTCGGCCTTTTTCATTTGCTACATCAGCAGCTGGACAGTAGGGACGTGCTTAATGAGACTGCTGCCTTCTAAAGGGTATTTTTCCTTTATTAGAAGTTGAAGTCTCATTAGATTTCAGAAATATTGCCCAGATTGTAATAAACCTCAACTATCCCCTCAGCAAACAGTTCCATATTTTTGGAAATTCTCTATCTTGCCGAGAGTTAGATGTGAAGATCATTACAATCACTCTCATGTATGTTAAATACAAAGCTACAGCCAGCAGCTTAACATGCCACATCTTGTTTGTTAATCCACACAAAAGTGAAGTGTAAAAACAGCAATTTGCCATTTTATGGGGGATGTGCAGGACTGTTACTTGGCCTGGCACAGTTGAGGGCAAGTTTCAAGGAAGTCCAGTAGCCCAGCACATAACCCCTCCTTAAACCACAAATTCTTATTTTTACACTTACTACTTTTTGTATGGACATTTTAGCGTCGGACAGAGCCAGGCTAGCTTTTTACCTCTGTTTCCAGTCTTTATGCTAAGGTAAGCTAACCGCCTGCAGGCCGTACCTTCATATTTAACATGACATATTGCACAGACACGAGAGCGGTGTTGATCTTCTCAATTACCTCTTGACAAGAAAGCGGATAAGAATATTTCCTCAAGCGTCAAACTATTCCTTTAATGAAGAACGATTTTGTTGACAAACCTCTGTATTGCTGACACGTCTTTTGAGCTGGTAACTAAAATAACTTCAAATGGAGCTGCATCGTCGCTGAGCCTGTATCCTGTCCTCCATGTGAAAAGGAAGCTCGAAAATATATGAAAGGAAGCTAGAATATATGAATTTCTTTACAGGTATCTGTTACGTAATATGTTTTATAAATATATTTTGCCTTTCAAATACAACCTCATCAAAGCCTTCCTGGAGGAACAGATGTGTGTGATGCTGACAGACGAGAATAATGGACACTTTTAGACAGAGCGAATGGGTGTTATGAAGATCACTGTTCCACAGGATGCAATGATTCATGGCGTGAGGCTTTGGTGAATGTGGCGAGTGTTAAAACTGCCCTCATTAAGGGTTTAGAAATGGACTCAGAACAGGAAGTGGTTTGAGAAACAATAATGGCCTTCATTGGGTCGGAGCTTTAATTTTGCTTTTAATGTAGTGGCTTCCCCTCAGATGAATGCTCGGATGTCTCCTTGGTTTGGATGTGAATGTGGAAAACAGCTCATCACGAGGATCCATTTTGATTTAGTGGGGATTAAGACTCTTCGGGGTGGGAAGTAGGAAAAAGAGAGAGAGAGGTTAGCGCAGCTGTATTGATTTTTGTCAACAACAACGGTTCTTCATTTCTGTCCTGATGACTTTGTTCCTGCTGTACTACTTGGATCTGAGATGCTCCAAATTACTCTAATAAGCAGCCATCTTCCACTAATCCTTTGAAGTGAAGTCAAGTGAAGGGTATGTTTGTATGAGTGTGTGCCCAAGCTTCGTTGTAGCTGCACTGGCTGGCGCACTCTTGTAGAGCGTGCGACTGTCCATGTGGGTTTGTCAAGTGGTCTCTCTGCTTCCTACACGATTTGAACCAAGCAACTGTTTCAACAGGCTGAGGGTGTGCTAACACTGTCTAGCTGCAAGTTGTGAGTGTTGCACAAAGCAGAGAGAAATAAACATCTATATGGGATTTCACTATAGGAGCTGCCTTGGCCTCTGTGGAAGTTAAAACACAGGTCATATTGAATGGCTCGGTTTTGCACTTCACGTCCTCCATCCGCCCACTCCCTCTGTCTGCAGTGGCGAGAGCGAATATGTTTTGACTGCTGAAAAATATCTTATATTACTTCACCTGTGATTTTTCTGACTTGATACCGCATGCTCACACTCATTCACTCATTTGAAACGTGTGCAAATGCCTGCTTCTGTTGGGTAAAGTCCAGAGGAGGGTTGTGGAAATGTTTTATTGGCTCTTCATCTCCACGCCATCGCTCTCATCCGTGACATACTGATCCCCCTTTCTGTGTCACCACACTCCACTACCCACGAATACACACCCCCTCTTTGACTTTGAAGTCATTGCTGTCGAGCAGGCACTCGTACTGTGCCCGTCTGGGTGGCCATTATTGTCACCTTGCGTGTGTGATTGTGTGTCACAGCAGTGGAAAGAGGAATCTTGGGTGGAGCTTTAAGGAAATGAACAGTAAAACTCTTTTAATAGATGTAATAGAAGGAAATTGGATGAATTTACTCTTCTGGTTCCTCTTTATGGTCATCATATCTATTCGAGGCAGCACTGTAATATTTGTGTGTTACCCAGTTGCTAAGTGGAACAGAAAGGGTGTATTTGTGCAGCAGCCACCAAACCGTCCATAACTCCACATTCCATCTTTAGAAGCTCCAGGGTGGAGGTTGACTTTCTTGGAAATAATTTCCACACTTTAGAGGAAAAACTGAAGTATTGGTTTGAGTTATTTGGCTGGATGTGAACGTAAATAGAGTACACGCTCGCCACACAGAGAACTTGTTGAAGTCCAGCGCGTGCCTGGACTTGTACTCTTGGCAGCGGTTCATGGAACGTTGACCAGGCAACCGTCGGCCCGTCACAACCCTCTCTGACCATGAATGAGTGTATAGTGTTAGTCAACCGCTGGTCAGGTCAGCGCAGGCAACCAAATCTTAGTTTTCCGGTCACGCCATATTGCCGGGGCACAAACGCGGCGGTTATGCAACCAGTCGCAGTGACGTCTTATTTTTTCATCCTCAGTTTGTAAGCATGACCTCACATCCCTAAAGAGGTGGGCAGAGGGTGGGTGCTGAAGTGGCACCTTGTGTTCCTCCATCACCAACAGGTTAGGGAAACATTTTGGTGAGAACATTGGTGGCCTTTATTTCAGCACTGATTCCTGAAGTAGACTAGTCAAGAGGACATTAAGATGGAAAATTAGGCAAATGTTTGTCTGTGTGCCTGTGTTTTTCTGAGCTACACTGCTACTTCTGTGCATTTGTGTGTGTGTGTGTGCGTGTGTGTGTGACGCTAAGTGATGCTGTGAATCAGAGACCTTAGCCTGTCCCTTTAGGCTTTTTGTCTGGCAGGGAAAAAAGGTCTTTTTCCTCTTGAGGTGATTCATCAACAGCAAGCATCCAGCCTCTGAAACAGACAGAGAAGCTCTCACACATGCACATCAGACAGAAAGCCTCAGACACACAGCACTCTCTATTTTTGTGATCCCATAATGCATTTAAAACATTGCCATATACCCAGACCTATTCTCTAAGGCAGATATTCCTCTTTGGTCTCGTGTCTCAGTTTAACTGAGACTTCATATTTTTGTCAGTAGTGATGAATCACTGGCTTTTTCAACCCAGGAGTTTCAGTACATTTGGTGTGACTGAGCCTTTCCTTAAGATCTAGGCTCTTGATAATTGTGGTCTTAGGCTGCACTGTGGCGTCTCCCACAGCCCCACAGCGCAGCAGTAGTGCTTTCCCTTCCAGAGACACAGAGTCGCAACCAAAACCCCCAAATGGCTGCCTGTGAAGCTGAGCGGCGGGCTAACCCCCACCACCCCTCCAGCCTTAATACCCAGTTCAAACCTCACTGTTAGTGCCACCAGCAAATAATTACCCTCTGAAAGTTTGACTGATTTTGAAATAAATTGTCCCTATACATCACTCAAGCGAAAAGTGTGCTTGTGGCTTTTCAAACCAAATAAGTCCCGGAGAAGTGCACAGATATCATCTGGACGTCTAGACCTTTGCCAGTCCTCTTGTGTACACGGTCATTACGATGACTATTATGTGCAGCAACTGCCGTCTGTGTTGTCAAATGAATTTCTGAAAGGCTAATTGTATGACATCTTTGCTCCGCTGCTTGATCCACTGCCAAGCATTTAGACTAATGGAACTCTATTGATTTGTGTGCTGCTACTCAAACTCTAACTCTCTCTTTCTCTCTCTATTCACTCCCTCCCTCGCTCTGTTTACCTCCAACTCCTCCTTTTTCTGTTTACTCTCTCCTCCGCCCAATGCTTCTCACCCGCTTCTTTTTTTATCTTTCTTTACCCTCCTCTTCTTCACCCCCTTTTCGCTACTCCCACAGAGGCTGGATGTGCTGACCAGCATCTACTCCATGTCGCCCCCCGAGGGCGGTGTGTGGGACAGCATCAGTTGTGCCACGGACGTGCTGACGTGTGTCTACATGCCAGACGGCCTGACAGTCCAAGTTCCCGTCAGAAGAGACCAGACAGCCGCCGACCTTCTCTCTGCAGCCTGCAAGGTTGGGTTGGCGGCCAGTTTCAGAGAAATGATGACATGTCACCAGAACGAGAGAACAATGTTCCTGACAGTTATAGCACAAAACGCCAAATAAAGGCAGTGATGTCATTTAGATTTAGTTGTGTAGTATAATTTTATGTTTTTAACATAGTCCTGCTAGTCACACTTAATGGTGAGAATGCATATTTTCCCGTCTTGTGGGGTTTGATCGCATGTGAATACACCAGGTGTGGTCTTGTTTTTTTGAAGCATCTGTAGCAGGAGATCTGGTTGTGTTATGCTCCCAAGGGCTTAAAATACCACACCTATTCTTGCAGTGTCTGACTCCACACAGTCCTCTAAGGATGACTGCAAATAGATGGACCCCCCCCCAACACACGCACACACACACACACACACACACACAACCATACATGTAGTCCCTTGGGAAAAACTTTTTTTTTTGTTTACCTCAAATTTCTCATCACTAAGTGTAAAGCCGGTGAATAATTCATGCTTTGGCCACACAGCAGCTGTCATACTAAGCGTTGGTGCATGAAATATGTGGGATGATTGTGTGCATACAGGCTGCTGAACATTAAGGGCTCTTGTGTGAACAGGTGAAACAGCTGGATCCGGGCCTGCACTGCCTCCGACTGCACAGGCGAGCGGGGCAGGACGCGGAGGTTCGATACGTGACAGCCGGAGAGCTCGTCCGCGATATGGTGAGGAGGGCAAACGTGCATAATCACACGTGGATACACACTGCTCTTCGTTATCTTAACCTTATCTAATGGGTATTGGTTTGTTTGATATCACCCTGTAGGTCAATGATCAGTTGGAGGTTTCCCCAGTTAATGTGTTTACACTGCACATGAGCAGGCCGAGCGCCACCGGAGACTTCGGTGAGTTGGCCTCTGATGTGGATTGATTTAGGTCTAGTTGTGTCTGTAATTTTCTATACACCTCACGATCGTTTGTGTACTCCTTCTGTCTGTCTAACTGTCCCTGTCTCTCCATCTCTGTTTCTCTTCCTCCTTGCAGGTTTTGCAGTAACAGGACACATAGACAGCCAAAAGAACAGCCGCATCTTTGTCAGTGAGGTGCTTCCTGATGGACTGGCCTTCAATGAAGGTGCTTACTTGACAAAGATAACCCTGAAATCACCAATATCATGTGTGATCCCTGTGGCTTTTAATACCTCTTAACTGAAATGTGTGTGCTTGTTTTTACCAGGTTTGCGCCCAGGTGATGAGATCCTGGTGCTAAACAGTCGGTGTGTGTCCGGTCTGGACCTGACGCTGATCCAGACATTGTTCGCCGAACAATCCCTGCACCTGAGCCTGAGGCGGGACGGTCCCCTGCCGCCAAACATGGCCTCCAACCATCCGGCCCTTCCTTCCAAGCTGAACCAGGAGGTTCGCAGCAAGCACCACCGAACCAAGTCCTCCTCAGGTGCTTAAATTCAAATGATACAAAACCGCACACCTGGATGAAAATGCACAAATCCTCAAACCAGCATTAGTGGGACTGTTTTTGTACTTAAAAGATTTGTATTTAATGGAAATGCAGCAAAATTTAAAGTTGATATTAATACCCTTTAGTTTCAGTTAGTTCGCCTCTTTGGTGTGTGACAGAAAAAGAGAGAAGGAGAAGCATGAAGAGAGATACGTACATTTCTGCTACCACAAAATGTAGCAACTTGGCACACCCTTCAGGAGGAGCTCGGTCTCAGTTGACTCTGCACCAGTTTAATGTTTTCTTTCCTCTGTAAGCGAGCTGTGTCATTAAACCTGTAAACAGCCTGCTCAAAGTTTAATCCCAGTTTACCCATCCAGTTTTTCCGATCTGTTTTGTTGTGGTTTATTTTGGCGCACACTGTAGTAGTTCGTCATCTAAGTCACAAAAAAAAAACAAAAAAACACACACATCCTGGTGATGTTCTTTTAGCAATAATTTGTTAGGAGCTGTTTACGTAAACCTAGAAGTTGTTTAGTTGCTCACATTAGTAGTAATAGCTGAGAGAGTAGGTTGTTCTCTCTCACCTCGGCCTCAACAAAACCACCACACTTCCTTTCCAGTTAAGTTCTCTGCTTCCTCAAAAGAGAGGCATGAGACAATGCGGCAGATGTCAAAAGTTACAAGCGGTAGAAAAAGTTTCAGATGAAGTTTCACAGCTCTGTGCTTCCTCGGGGAGAGAGAGAAAGACCAGGAGGGGCCTTTGACCGCAGAGGGCTCATTATCACAATGAATATATAGTGCTCTGTCGGCTTGGTTCGGTCTCACTGCGGATGCGAGGTGTCAGAACTGAACAGTGAGGTCGTCCATGTCGTTGGACAGGCACGGCTGATACCCATCTGTTTTTGTTCGAGTCTCGCGCTGAAGGTAGGGGAAATTCAACCAGATCTGATCTGATCTGTGGTGTATAGATTATAGATATATATAGGTTTAAGATTTGATGCAGTTCTTTATGTAACAATTTGATGTTTTTTCATCGTACAGTTGAGGATGCAGTCGGATCAAAACTTATATTTTAAACCATTGTTATTAATTTGAATTAGTCTTGGTTTGTCAGAGAAGTACAGTACAGTACACCACCTCTTTCAACAGGTTATGACTAAAAAGTAGATTCACAAATTGTTCAGGAATGGTCAGCATTGAAGTATACAAGTTCTAAAAAGAGCAGACGGTGGCAGTTTCCAATATTATGACAATTCAGATTTTTCCAAAGTTATATTTTTGGTTTTTATGAGAGTCACAGAAAGACGGGGCGGTGTCAATCGAGTAAAGAAGAAGGACATGACTTGCAGATTTGGACACAGCATGTTGCTGATTCATGACCTGTCCTTTACCCCACTGAATAACCTGTTAGTCGATTCGTTTTTCAAATGAAATTATGCCAAAATTGACCAAAACGCTGCTAACAGTATTTTTCTTCAAGAACATTTGATGTCTTTTTTACTCATTGTTTTCCATCAAAAAAACAGTCAAAAGAAAGAGTCAGTTCTGGAGAAAGCATCATCTTAATGATAGTAATTCATTAGTGTTTTGCTCCTCTGCAGCCATAATTGAACACAAATGGATTAATTAATTGAAGGCCTCATTATTGTAAGTGGTGTGATCAAAGTTCCTGCAGTTTTCTTCTCCGTCTCTAGAGGGCACATGATTCCAGGCAGGCTGATAAGGAGGCAGAGAGGCAAATGCCCACAGTGAGGAATTAACACTTGTCTGACACAAATTACAAAAACGATTTCACGGTGGCATTCCTAGAAGGAAACTGTCTGTCATCTGGATTCATTCAGCCTGATGCAAACGTTTAAGACACAAGAATCAAATTTAGAAGACTAGATATGTCAGTAACTCCGCTCTAGCAGTCAGGCATTTGGTCGACTATGATTGCGAGCTTAAAAAAGGGAGAAGTTCAGCTCCACAGGGAGTCCAGAAGTTTTCTTTTTGTTTCCTGCTGTCACATTGGCCTGCCTCCCAGGCTACAATCAGGGATAAAGTCTTTTCATGTGCCAACTGCTAGAGAGTTTGTCCTCGGGACCTTGAATTTAATGAGAAGTAGGTAATATCAGGAAAATGTTTTCAAAACAGTCGGTTAATCTTTCGTCATGTCAGGGGGGTTCGTAAGCAAATATACATTTTACGAAGAGGAGCTGTGAACTTTAGCTATGAAACTATTTTAGGGCTTTAGAAAATAGATAACAGAGTCTTTAATTAGGATTGCCAAGTGTTTGTTTTTCTTTTTTGGGATAACAGAATGCCATTGCCATTTTTAGTTTGGAGACATATTTAAATTCTGTGCAACTGGCAGACGCTCATGATGGTTTTAGACCAGCCAGCATTGTTCGTGTTTTGTGGTCCGAAGAAGGATGTGCTGTAGCAAAAACCACTGTAGGACAGATGCAGTGATGGGTGGTGTGAGCAGAGCACGCACGCACGCACGCACGCACGCACACACAGAGTGACACCAAACATAATTCTAAAACTGTTCCCTCCGCCTCTCTTTCCAGATGTGTGTACTGCAGCTGACGGTGTTGAGTCCCTGTGCGTAGGACTGGAGAATGGTCACTCCCACTGCGCACACAGGCCTGTTCAGCACAGCAAGGTAGGAGGGGCGAGAGTGTGTGTGTGTGTGTGTGTGTGTGTGTGTGTTTGTGTTTGTGTGTGTGTGTGTGTGTGTGTGCCAAAAAGTATGTTTTTGTCTCTTAGACATCCACATACGGTACCTCTCTCTCTCCTTCCAGGTTTGTTTGTGTGAATCAAAATGTGCACATTGTCGAGCGTGTGTGTTTATGCCCACTCACAGTGGCAGCTGTGGGGCTCTCAGCAACAATCCTTAGCATTACCATAATAATTAGGATATTCCATCTTAGCCACCAGTATAAACACAGCTCATTACTGTCATGCAGATGGGATCCAGACTGAGAGAAGAGGCTGTCATAACAAGAAAAGCTACATAGGTCTCTTTAGTGGGCATGTTTTAGACAGGCAGATTCTCTTACTGGTGACATATTCCTGTGTTTGTCTTTGCCTTAAAAGTCCTGTCTTTGGTCTAGGTACCCTGCAATTAATACAACTCCTGTGTTTCAAACCAGTTTAGAGGAATATCTCCTCTATAAATATGCCAATGGTTGTCCCTCGTGATTTTCGGCAGATTGCACACCTATTTCTGTCCTGTCTGTTGTTCAATATCCGGTCAGGTTTTTGATGTGTAAACCAACTTTATTGAAGTCAGTAAACCGAGTGTGAACTGGTCCCACTGGGAATTATGCCTCAGAAGTGTAGTATTGTAATACAGGACAATCTGTATGCCGGTGTTTACTGAGAGCAGTAATGAGTGTGTGCGGTCATCATGAATAGTCACGCGATAGAAGCCTGAGAGTGGACGCGTGTGTGTGTTCATACATGTTCACCGTCTTCTCCATCATTCAGCTAAGATTTCGTGTTCTTTAAAGGCATGTGGATGTCATCAACAGTGTGAGTGATTGTTTGGCGCACTTTTAACAAGCTGCTCATTATGTAATTTGAGTTACATGGAAAGGGGAATAGGCAGCAGTGTTGCGCTCATTTTAGCCGTGATTGAATGATAATAAATCCAGGCCAAATATCCAGAAACCATCGCTAATTGCCGTGGCTGGCATAGCTTTATTCTAATTGCCTGTGTCAGAAGATGCCGTGCAGTATTTGACCTGAGGTCAGCCAGGAGGTGGATTAGACAGGACAACTAGCTCTCCTCTCCTCTCTCCATTCTGGCTCTATTCGTCTCTCTTTTTGTTTGCCCGGCGACATGAGTCAGTCCCACTGCGCTGGGATCTGCACTGCACCACTGCTGCTGCTGCTGCTGCTGCTGCTGCTGCTACAGCTACATCCCCGCCGTTTGTCTTTTACTGAGGAATGAATGGAAGAATGGAAGATAGGTGTGTGTGTGTGTGGGAGGGGGAGGGGGGGCAGGGAGGGAGGGGAGGTTTATGAATGTGTAACACTTAGGTCACTGCATATGTGCACATTTGAGGCATAAGAAGAGAAAAAGCTCTCTCCCTCCATCAGGAAGAGTCAGCCACTGTGAAGGCGATATAAAAAACACAGGGTGAGATATTGGTGCTGGTAAATCAGATTTTTGCCGTCACGAAGAATGGAATTTAATCACGGTGCTCCCATCAGTTTGTTCTCTGGGGCGAGGAGAAAGAAATCGAGTCACTGGGTAGAAAATCAGCCATGTATCAGCATATAGGTGCACACATGCGTGCACACGGCGTTGTGGGAGTCATTAGAGATGGATGGAAGGGAATGTCTAATTTCAAGGCATTTGTCACACCTTGTAATCGGCTACCTCACTAGACTGACTACCTTTGATTAATTGGTTTGTCGCATTCAAATTTGTGCTTATTACAGAAGAGAGATTTGTGTGTGTGTGTGTGTGTGTGTGTGTGTGTGTGTGTGTGTGTGTGTGTGTGTGTGTGTGTGTGTGTGTGTGTGTGTGTGTGTGAGGCGAAGTGCTTACTAGGCACAGTTGATACTGTTGTTTGCCATCAGAATAATGATCGTGATTCCTTACTCAATGTTACATTTGGCTATAGAGCGCCATAGCAATTGGTTTAACACAATGTTGTGATACGATCATGAGCTTAACCAATCGATTGCAGAAGTCAACTGAATTGGTCCCGGATAACTCCCATGAGGCACCGGAAATTGAATTGATTTGACATGCACGCAGTTGTTTTAGTGAGGAGACACAGTAATGTGGACGTGTATCTTCAAATTCAAAAACTGCAGCATCCAGTTTGTCCGTTCCTCACCTAATCTCTGCTTGTTTAGGAACTGAGAGGCTCGAGTAAAGGCTTCATGGGGGATTTGTTTGGCTGGCAGGTCATCAGCACATTCTCACACATACATGTGAGCACACACACATCTATAGTATACCAGGCGATCCCAGTGGACAGATGGGAGGACATGGGAAGTAATCTGGCATGGTCTGGGTTCACCGCATGACAGCAGTCCACTGAAGTGAAGTCACACACGTGTATCCATTCACATGCAGATAAACATACTAGGATGTACTGAGGGCCCTTTAGCATCAAATTTACCTTTTCATCCCTGTTTTTTGGAAAAGTTCAGATAATTGAATAATTGTTTCATCTTCTTGGCAAAAATTCCTGCTTCTTTTTCTGTTTTTATTTTTCATCTCAGATGAAAGTAAACTGAATACCTTTGGGTTTCGGACACTCAATATATCAACATGGGATTTATTTTTTGACATTTTGTACACCAAATGATTAACTGAAGAACCAAAAATGAAAATAACGGGAGAGTTTCAGCTCTACTTTAATGTATCCAGTTAAAGATGCATTAAAATTAATTAATGAGTTAGTTTAAGTCATTTTTTAAGCAAAGATGTCAACATTTTACTGATTTCAGCTTTTCAGATGTAAATATTTAGTTAGCTATTTAAAGTTTAGGTCTTTTATAATATAATATAATATAATTGACTATATTTGGATTTTGGACTGTTGGTTCGGACTTGGGCTTTTTTTAATTTCAGTTGTTTCACAAATATTCGATTAGTTGAGAAAATTGTCTCCAGACTGATCAATAGTAACAATGCAGTTTTTGTAATGTTTTGGAATCTAATGAAACAGTATCTGTCTTATTTATGGCACATAATCAGGTCTTGGCCTGATGGTGGATTACTGCCATGTTACATTAATGTCAAATTCCATTATATTATAAATACAGTGGCATCGATTTTTACCCATAAATTGATATGGTATATTTGACACATTGTAAAGTAGACATTCATGTCTTGTATTAAACCAAAGGTTAAACAGCAGACAGACATATTAAGCCTCTTTGCTTTTGTCCAGACATTTGAGTAAGAGCATTTAAGTGGTCTTATGCAGAGAGCTATGACTAGAGCTAAACTACACTTTACTTTTTGGCTTTATTTACTTATTATGAGCAGTGATATTATTCAGTATTAGGAAAAGACATATAGATGAGTAGACTGTAACATTTGTGCTGTTTTTGTTCCGTCTTCCTCTGTCTTCTGGTCTCAACCTTCCTTTTCTACTGGTCTCAGTGGACGAGAGGAGTCTTTGAGGTGTTTTAACACTTTTCATAAAAATGTGTGACTAAAAGACTGAATTAATCAGTTTTGATTCCCCTCTCATAATATGGGTCCTAGACTTCAAAAAGATGTGGTGGATGCCTACGGATCATCATCTTCAAACATGATCCTGTCTTCCTCGGAGCTACAACATCCCCTCCCTAAACTTTAGAGAATCCCCTTTACCCAACTGGTGTGTGTCTGTCTGTGGGATGGGAGTTTGGGGGGTATAATTTGGGGGTGTGTGTGTGTGTTATGACTAAGCCCATCAGCCACCATCTGGCCGTGAGCAGACTAATAATCTAAGCTTACTGCTGTCAGTCCCGTTAATGCTAGCCTGCTCTCGTCGATGCACTCCACTGTAAACAAGTTGGAAAGGCAGATAAAAACTTGAACGGAAGGAGCGACGGAGGGACCAACAGGGACCCAGATCCAACATGAACAAGATCTGGCTAGAATGACCACAGAGGGGGTGCCTGGCACAGACATGTCAGTGGCCATACCGATCGTAGCCCCACCAGTGAACGATGAAGCTCCTCAGTCGTGCTTCTACCTCACCACTTTCATCGAGCTCTTTATGTGGGACCAGTCCCCTGCCCAGGCCCTGTGCTCCCTCCTGGCCATGTGCTGGTTCTGGCCGTCCGGCTGCAAGGCTGAAGAGAAGGACTTGTTCCTGGGCTCTGCGCTGCTCAGTTTGGGAAGGCTCGTCAAAGACAAGCTGGCCTGCCTGGCCCAGGACATGGCTGCCTGCTTGTCCTGCCAGAGAGACGCCAAAGGGGACAAACAACCGGTAACTATGGGCTGTGGGAGGTTTTAACTGAGGTAGCTGATACTATGAGTCTTCACACTTAAGCTGCAAAGTTTCACACAACTCCCACAACCTTCTGTGTGTATTTGGTAAAAATATCTCCAGGAATGTGAGTCTTGACTAGTGTGAGTCAGAATTCATACACCTGTTATTTGCATTTTATTTGCATTGTAGCATCAACTTTAAAGACCACAAGAATTACAATATCATATGCACTATATATGAATTATTTTAGCCATGCTATTGGTGCAGCAAAGACAGTCAGATGGATAGTCTACCACTTTGATCCAGACGGAAACATCTCAAAAACCATGAGATGGATTGCAATGAAATTTGGCAGAGATACCAATGGCGCCCAGAGGATTGAGCCTACGATGATCCTCTGAATTTTCATCTGCCGCTGTTGCACTGGAGATCTCTCTACTTTTTTGGTTTCTATCCAAATACCTGCAAGACTAATGACATTTCCACTGGACTCAATCGGACTTTGTGTTCAGTGCTAATTAGCAAATGTTAGTATGCTAACAGAGCATGGTGAATATTCCCTGCTTAACATCAACATGTTAGCATTGCCACTGTGAGCATGTTGATTTTAGCATGTAGTCATTCACAGAGCTGTAGACCTTTGCTCTTGGTTTCTCTCTGCACAGCTCTGTCCTGGTGATCTTTAATTCATGCTTTCTTATAAGGTTTA